ACATGAATGACACAGGATGACAAGAAGAACAAGAAGGAGGAGGAGGAGGGATTTTAAACTATAAAAGTCAACTTGCTATAATCTTGCTGGAATATAAGACTCACCTTGCCCAAAGGATCCTTCTTGGCCTCCTGCTGTTCTCTATCTGAGGATACTGGACATGGAGGAAGGTTGGGGCTGAAGGCCATGAGGTCGTTCTTGAACGTTCCTTCTCCAGAGCAAACCTGACGCCGCTGCTGGGAGTACGACCAGCTCCCAGCCTCGTTTGAACACACCAGAGTGGGCTTCCCAGGCCCGTAGATGCCCTGCGTTGGTGTAGAACACCGCAGAGCCACATATAGCAGCAGGCTCAGCACCAACAAACTGGACACAGAACAGATGGCTATGATCAAATACACGTTCACATTCACCAGCGCTGTGCCCTTAGCAATGGACGAAGCTGCTGGCTGCTTGGCCAATCCAGAGGACGTCTGAAGGGCCTGACCACTCTCCAAAAGTGACACACTCACCGTGGCTGTGGCAGACAGCATGGGCTCCCCGTGGTCCTTTACTAGTACTAGCAGCATCTGCCTGCGCCCATCTGACTCCTCCAGAGCCCGAGTTGTGCTGATCTCTCCAGTGTACAGACCTACGCGGAATGGGCTGCGCCCAGCGCCCACGTCCGGCAGCAGCTCATAAGACAGCCAGGCATTATAGCCAGAATCCGCATCCACAGCCCGGACCTTCGTCACTACATGTCCCACAGCCACCGACTGTGACACCAGCTCCGTCACAGGGCTAACGCCAGAGTGAGGCGGCAGCACAACCGGCGCGTTGTCGTTCTCGTCAAGCACGAACACCTGCAGACTCACGTTGCTGCCCAAAGGAGGGAAGCCAGCATCTCTGGCACTCACCTGGAACTGCAGAAGTTCAAGCTCCTCGTGGTCTAGGGGCTGCAAAGCGTACACTTTCCCACTCTCTGAGTGCACAGACACGTAACTCGACAGATGACGCTCCCCCACGCGCCTCTCCACTAGCGAGTAAGACACTAGCGCGTTCTGCTGCGCATCTGGATCTGATGCGGACACTGTGAAGATGTGATGCCCGGGTAGGTTGTTCTCCTTCACGAACACGGTGTACAAAGGCTGCTCGAAGGCAGGCGCATTGTCATTCACGTCGCCAATGCCCACAGAAATTCTGGCGGTGGCTCGCAGATCTGGAGTCCCCCCATCCCTCGCAGTCACCACTAGTTCATAGGCTGGCACACTCTCGCGGTCCACCGTGCCATCCAGCACTAGAGAATAGTAATTTCTGAAGGTGGACACAAGTGTGAAGGGCCCCGGGGGAGACAGCGAGCAAGTCACCTGCCCGTTGGCTCCTGAATCACGGTCAGACACGCTGATGAGGGCGATGACTGTGCCTGATGGGGCGTCCTCACGAACTGGCAGCGATAGTGACGTCACGGCCACCTCTGGAGCGTTGTCGTTGATGTCCAGAACCTCCACCAAAACCCTACAATGACCCACCATAGGAGGGTTTCCTTTATCAGTCGCCTCCACCTGGAGTTCATAGAATTTATTTTCCTCAAAATCCAAGTTTCCATTTATCCTAATTTCTCCTGTATTTTCATCTAATCTAAACAAGTCATTTCTCTTGGGTTTTATCGAACGCAATGAGTATTGTAAAACGTTATTTATTCCTTCATCACGATCTGTGGCATTGACCTTTACTATAAATGTGCCGTTTGCAACATTTTCCAACAATTTCACCTTGTACTCTGACTGATCAAACTCAGGATCATTATCATTGACATCTAACACTGAGATCTTTAACTGGACTGTGCCCGTGAGCTCCGGTTTGCCCCCGTCAGTGGCGGTCAGTAACAGATTAATCTCAGGAGTATCTTCTCTATCCAAAGATTTTCTTAACAAAAGTGACAAAGCTTTACTTTGCTCACTACTCGTTTGCATTTCCAAAATAAAATATTCATTAGGGCTGAGTACGTAGGTTAAGAGAGAGTTCACTCCGATATCTGCATCTGACGCGCCCTCTAGCGGAAATCGGGAGTCCGGCTGCTTAGATTCAGAAATGAATAGCCTTTGTTCTGTAGCAGGAAACATAGGCGCATTATCATTAATGTCCTTGATCTCCACCTCTACGTGGAAAACCTGCAGCGGTTTGTCTACAACCATCTCCAGGTGGATGCTACAAACAGGGCTGCGACCGCACAGCTCCTCTCGGTCGATCCGCGAATTCACAAACAAAATGCCGTTCTGCGCGTTTACTTCCAAGTAGTCCCTGCGGCCCTTGGGCACCACCCGGAACAGCCTCGACACCAGCTCCCCGACCTCCAGACCCAGGTCCTGCGCGATGCGACCCACAAACGTACCGTGTTTCGCTTCTTCCGTCACCGAGTAATGGACCTGGCCGCTCCCCACTTCCCAGGATGTGTGGAGCAGAAATGAGAGTAGCAGCTGCTGCAGTTTCAGACCGCCTCGCTGGGAAAATCCCATTGTAAACACGAATTGTATCTAATTCTCTCCTCCGTGACGGTTTATAATGAAACAAGATTCTTTGAGAGAGAAATCCAGTGTCTGCTAGTTTCCTGTGGTATGGGTTTAAAAACATGGATGCTGGCGAAGTCTCGATGCACTGTCTTTAAAACTGGGAGAAGAGCAGTGATTTCATGCCTTTAGGATTTGTTTTATTTGAGCCGACAGCGTCACCATGTGGTGATTTGAGTAAGTCTGTTGAGTCACATCTATTGTATTTTTTTCTAGCTTTTTATATCTCCATATTGTCTTGTGCCTCTCAGTTGCTCTTTCTTCGAATGTTTTAATTTTATTCATTAATAGGATATTTATGAATTGTGGTACGATGGAAAGGACAGCATAATAGCCTTTCACACTGCTTTTTAATGAAAATCGAGTATGTATTTAAATGAATTACTTTCTTCTGGCAATTATATACTCATTATTAAGATTCTCTTATTTTCATTTGGAAAAAAGAGTCTCATAAATTCTCTTCCACATTCTTTTTTTTTAAAAGAACTTGCTAGGTCATAAGTTTTAGGAGACCTGTGACTTTATCTTTTTTATATTTTCAATGCCTCCACCTTCCCAACAACACAGCAACACATAGTAAGCACCAATAAATATTTGTTGGATTTATTGAAAAACAAAGCCTTAGTCGAATAGGTCAGTTTGACCTCCACTCTTTGACTAATTTTGCAAGATTGTAGCCATATTTATCATCTTAAAAGAAAGCAGGAGCCCAACTTTGTTTAATTTTGCAAGATTGTAGCTATATTTATTATCTTGAATGGAATCATAATGAACTCAAATCAGTTGCATTTAATGCAACTTATCTTAATATTTAAGATACATTAACTGTTAGTAAAGTAGTCAATATTACTATGTTAAGAAGAACTCAAATCTATCAGAAGTCTCAGAGCTTTTCTAAACATGAAAGAAATATTTCATTTGTTCCACTTTTAAATTAAACTTTCTTGGGTGAAATAAAACAAAAAAATCCAAATTTTTTAAATACCCAATCCTACCGTGAAAATGAAGTAATTATTTTTCTGAATGAAGTATATGTAACCTCCAGTCAAGTGGAGTTATTGAAGTGATTTCACTGATGTTGGACATTACCCATTGTAGGGATGTCCTCCACCTTATGATGCCCATCAGCATTTCATCTGTTATTTATAAACTTATAGAGTCACCCAAAAGCACAGTTTGATTTACCAGTGATGATACAGTCCAATGTGTATCAGAGATATTGAATGAATTCACGTCTTCCAGACTCCATAGTTGGCCTTCTAGTTATTACTATATTACCACAATGCTAAATAGAATAATAGTCCATAAAAAAGATAGTATCTGAAGATTTTGATATTTCAAAGAATATTTGACTGAAGAATGAATGAGGGTTTCTTCCATCATGCTGGAAGCACTGGAAAGGGACTGTGAGTGCCTAAAGAGCAGAGACTTTTTTTTTTTTTTTTTGCCTTTCTTAGTACACTTAGTTCTTAGCACAATGCCTGGCATAATAAATAGACACTTAATAAATGCTAGCTTACTGACTGACTTCTAGATAACAATAATGTTGTAGAGTTTCTAATTATAAATAACAAAAGTAGCTAGAGGATAGGAGTTCTTTTAACAGTCACAAAACATACTACCTATAACAATAGCACTCATTTGTAGAACACTTTAAGGTTTGCAAAAGTCTTTACATGAGTTGTTTTCTTTGCTATATACTTATCCTCAAAAGAGTGCTATTATTCCAAAATATGTGTCTCTATACACACTCACACACACACACACACAATGTTTTTTATTTTAAGGAATGATAGAATCTTTCACTGTTGTATTCAGTATAAATATTTTGTAATAACTTCTTACTAGTTAGATTTTTGAGCCTACTTATGAAATTGAACTGAGAAATTTAATGGTGACTAGCATAGTTAAAGGACTGAAGATCATTTGATGGAATTGGGAATGCTTCTTCTGAAGGAGCTGTTTATGGGTGACAGTATAAATGATATTTAAAGAGGGCATATGGAAATAAAATGAGACTTGTGCTTAATTTCAGACAACAAGTCTGAGAGTAATAAGTGGAAATTGCAGAGAATAAGTGGAAACTTCCTAATAATTAGTTATCCAGAAATGAAATGGATTGTCTTGAGATGTACTGAAACACCCCCCCACACACACAATAAGCTAAATAGCCACTTCTCAGGGATATCATAGAAAGGGTCTTTGTTTCCTGCACATTGGATTACACAGTCTGTGAGGCCCTGTCCAAATAAAATTTTGTAAAATGCAGTATATGTTTAAGGTATTCACACTACCATTCAAGTTACAAATATGTTCAAGGAGCTACTGAAATTGAGGGTGGAGGGGTGGAAAGCCAGGGGGAATGTACAAACTGTGTTCAAAATACATTGACAGCATTCTGGGATCATAATAAATGTGGAGTAAAGACAAATTTAAATTATGATAAATGTCATATAATTAACAATACCAACTAAATCTAAAATCCAACTGTTTAAGCTCAACAAAAACCTAAAACAAAATAGGAAGAAGAAGAATTAAGAATACAGGAGAAAATAAAATTACACATGATCCAAGCTACTATTTTGACAGATAAAATATTTCAAATAACCCACCTGGTCAGAGGAATTTGCAGTTGCTTCCTTCTGTTCCCCTTTATTCACAAAGCCAGGACAAAGAGGAAAGTTGGGGCTAAAAGCCATAAGATCGTTCTTGGCCACCCCTTCTCCAGAAAAACCTTTCTGTCGCCGCTGCTGGGAATGTGACCAGCTCTCCATCTCACTAGAGCACACCAGCGTAGGTTTTCCATTCCCATACTCACCCCTTTGGGGTGCTGCGCACCACAGCGATACATACAGCAGCAGGCTGAGCACTAACAGGCTGGATACCGAACAGATAGCAATGATCAGATATACATTCACATCTACCAGAACTGTCTCCTTCCCTGAGTCTGCAGAAGCAGCAGACCTGGACGCTCCAGAAAAGGTCTTCGGGGATAATCCACTTTCCACTATCGACAAGATTACAGAAGCTGTGACAGACAACATAGGTTCACCGTGGTCTTTCACCAGAACCAGCAATGTCTGCTTTCTTGAGTCTGACTCCTCCAGATCTCGAGTGGTACTGATTTCGCCAGTGTACAGACCCACGCGGAAAGGGCTGCGCCCAACGCCCATCTTGGGCAACAGCTCATAAGACAACCATGCATTGTAGCCTGAATCTGCATCCACAGCGCGGATCTTCGCCACCACATGACCCACAGCCACGGACTGTGATATCAGTTCGTTCGCTGGGCCCCCACCTGCTCCAGAAACAGCATGAGAAGGCAGCACCACTGGTGCGTTGTCGTTCTCATCCAGCACGAACACCTGCAGGCTCACATTACTGCCCAGAGGAGGGAAGCCTGCGTCCCGGGCGCTCACCTGGAACTGCAGCAGCTCCAGCTCCTCGTGGTCCAGGGGCTGCAAGGCGTACACTTTCCCGCTCTCCGAGTGCACAGACACGTAGCTAGACAGCGGACGCTCCCCTACTCGCCGCTCTACCAGGGAGTAAGACACAAGTGCGTTCTCTTGCGCATCAGGGTCTGAGGCGGATACTGTGAAGATGTGACAGCCCGGTGGATTGTTCTCCTTCACAGACACTGTGTACATCGGCTGCTCAAAGGCAGGTGCGTTGTCGTTCACGTCGCCAATGCCCATCGACAAGCTGGCAGTGGTCCACAGGGCTGGCGTCCCGCCATCCCGAGCAGTTACCTCTAGCTCATAAGCCGGAACGCTTTCGCGGTCTATAGGACCTTCCAAAACGACGGAGTAGTAATTCTTGAAGGTGGATACCAACGAGAACGGTCCCTGGGGAAACAAAGAGCAAGTCACCTGTCCATTGGCTCCTGAGTCTCTGTCGGACACACTGATGAGAGCAACGACTGTGCCTGGAGGAGCGTCTTCTCTTACTGGCAGTGACAACGATTTTACCACCACTTCAGGGGTATTATCATTGGTGTCCAGAATTTCCACCATGACCCTGCAATGACCAGCCAACTGGGGAGTCCCCTTGTCAGTAGCTTCTATCTGAATTTTATATAATTTAATTTCCTCAAAATCAACATGTCCCTTTACTTTTATAACTCCACTTATTGGGTCTATGTGGAACTTGGCCTGTACATCTGGAGAAATATCACTTGTGAATGAATAAATAATTTGACTGTTTAATCCTTCATCTGAATCTGTAGCATTTAGTTGAATTACTGGGGCTCCATTAGATGTATTTTCCAGTAGTTTCACTTTATAGACTGTTTTATCGAATTCGGGGGCATTATCATTGACATCCAGCACCGTGATCAGCAGCTGAACTGTTCCAGTTAGCTCTGGTTTGCCCCCATCAGTGACTGTAAGCAACAAGTGAAGTTCGGGAGTTTCTTCTCGGTCTAGTTGTTTTTTTAATACAAGTTTAATTTCCTCCTCGTTGTTTTTTATATCCAGAGTGAAATACTCATTAGGACTGAGCTTGTAAGTCAAGAGAGCGTTCGCTCCGATATCTGCATCTGACGCGCCCTCTAGCGGGAACTGAGACTCAACTAACCTCGATTCTGCAATACTGAGATTCTTTTGTTTTACAGAGAACACAGGAGGATTGTCATTAATGTCCTTGATCTCCACCTCCACGTGGAAAACCTGCAGCGGTTTCTCCACGATCACCTCCAGGTGGATGCTACAAACAGGGCTGCGACCGCACAGCTCCTCACGGTCGATCCGCGAATTCACAAACAAAATGCCGTTCTGCGCATTTACCTCCAGGTAGTCCCTGCGGCCCTTGGACACCACCTGAAAGAGCCGAGACACCAACTCCCCGACCTCTAGACCTAGATCCTGAGCTATTCGCCCCACGAACGTACCGTGTTTCGCTTCTTCCGGCACCGAGTAATGGACCTGGCCGCTCCCCACTTCCCAGACTGTGTGGAGAATAAAAGAGAGGAGCAGCTGCCGGGTTCCCAGGCCTTTTCTCTCCCTGAACAGCATTGCAAATATTTGGAGAAATATTCCAATCATTGAATCACGGAATAAAAATAATTCCTGTCTTCTACTGCTTGCTTAAATCGGGTTCTGATGCATCCGCCATGATTAAGCATCATCCACTAACAAACCCCAGAGCATTTCAAGGGCCGGGGAGAAAAAGAACTCGCCCTTATGCTTGCTTGGATAACATCTCGTGGCAGACAGCGACATCATGTGGGCTAAAGAGTAAGTAGGAAGTTGTCCTTAACTAATTTATGAGAGTAAAGAATTTATTTCCTACAATTCATTCTTCGTGGCAACATAGAACCACACTTTGGGGTAAGAAATATATTCCTGGCTGCTTTTGAAAGATTAATTTTCTTTCTTCATTTCAATATTTCAATTGTCTGTTGTTGTATGAGTAAGTGTACACCTTACACTGGTGCAGATGGAAACTCTTCTATTACTTTGTACGTGACATTTAAGAATTGCTGTGGCACAAAAGGTTATTATTCTGAGGCCAATGATTATGAACTCTAGAAATTTAACTGGGCTTGCTTGTAGGACAATAAGCATGCAGTCTACTCCCAGGATCATACTAGAAACTGTTCCATTATATAATAGGACCTGCCAGACCTTGATCTTTTCAGGCATGACCACTGAGAAACAAGAGTCTGTCCATACCACTGTAAGGCATTGTATTTTTATGCTTTCTTTGAAAAGTAGTATGAATCAGATTTAAATAGTAAGAGCTTATTTCATTATGCAAAAATGTTATCAGTTTAAATTGTGAATATGGAAAATTGATATGACTATGGAAAATTAGAACAACAGACAGAAAAAAATCAATTTTAAGGGGAAAGGTAATGAACTTGAGAGTCAGAAGACTTGTTTTGGAATCTTAGTTCTGTTCTTTCTGTGTGAGATTACATAAATCACTTAATCTCTCTAAACCTCAGGTTCTTCACGTGTAAAATGGAGATAATAGCCACCTCAATTTGTCACAAATTCATTGTAGGGATTAAAACAAGTAATAGATATAAAGTATTTTGTTTATCCTAAAGTGATAAATGTTAGTTATTAGTTGTAATTATTATTGGCAAATATTCTATCTCTAATTTATTCCTGCCCCCTTCTTTGAAACACAATATCCTTGTTTAAAAAGAGATTAGCAGGTGTTAAAGAAAGGTGATAGACATCAAGAGCACCCAGAGACGGTTTCTTTTAAACATAATCAAAATAACGTTAAGATCACTGGAAGGAAAAAAAAACAATTCTAAGCATCACTGTGTCCAGAAAAAAACTTCTCAATTTTTCTATTTGAAGAAACCTTTAAAACCTATCACTACATATGACAAAATATCAGCCTTTGTAAAAAAAAAAAATTATAGGTTTCACATTTGTTATTAAATGCCATTTCCTAGAACATTCAATCTATACCCTTTAGATTGTCTTTCCATAACAAATCTGAATTTGATAATTCCAGAAACAACAGAAGAAATCAGCAGCTACAGACATATTTCAACTTTCTCACCTGTATAAAAAACCTTTCTAAGAGTAATTTACACATGAATCAAGGGTTTCATTAGTAAATATAAATATATATATATATATATCAGAATAGGAAGGCTTTCACAGATGATTTTGTACAGTAAACCACATCTTCACAGTGTTCATGGAGAATATAAAATCCATCTTTGTTTATTGTTTTTCTTTAATTTACTTCAAAGAGTAAAACATAACCTTTAAGGATCTTATCCAAGGAGTTGTTTTCATTTTGTATGTTCAGATCATATGGGATTCAATGATGGATATAATCACAGTGATGATTTTGTTCAATCAATCACTAATTAACAAACTTAATCACAGAATATCGTAGGTTGTCAAAGATAACCACCATAATCATGGAAGATGCCCTGGTCAGAGTTCAAATGGACAGGAAATTTCCTGTAGATAGAGCACCATTCAAATGCTTCTATTTATGGGTGACATTTTGCTGAATACATCAAACCCAAGAATACTACAGAACCTCAACTATGAGACCCACAGTTCCTCAAAAGGAATCTGCCTAGTAATCCATATGGAAAAAAAAAAACTAAATGGATTAAAAATATCTATTACCCAGACTCTGGCATGCAATTGAATGGACAATTCATTGTGTTTATTTAGCAGTTGAATCATCTTGGACAGATTCTGCAGACAAACAAACTGAATGCAAAACCCAATAGATTGTTGTAAGCAGACTGAATTTCCATTTCAGAAAGCATTGTGCTTTTCTTGATTACAACTAGTTCATGACACAACATCCATCTTTTTAACACAAATATACTCCTGAAAGTTCCACTGGCTTAAGAATGAGAGAGAGGCACCACATTCTCCAAATAATCAAAAATTTCAGGTGATCCAAAAGAGCAATGGAGAGATGCATGGTGGGTCTAAGTAAGCTAAATGATATTATCAAGGATGATTTAAGTACAATAAAATACAAAAGGTATGCCATCCAAGAAAGAAGTGACCAAAAAGGACTAGCTATGTAGCAAGAATGGGGAATAATAGAGGGATTGTCCAAGTACTATATTGTTTGACAGAAAATGTTGGATGGCTCTCAATGCATTGGTAAGATCCTCTATAAGAGAATAAAGACCCCAAAAAAAGACATGGGTGGGTTACAAGATAGAACATTTTAGTAAGTACCTACATTGTCAAGATTACAGGTTCATTGAGGAAACCAAAGGCAAATACATTAAGGTATCAATCGTCATTACCTTTCTTAATATTTCATAGAAAAACTGTTGCTTTAGCCTGAAATGTTCTCATTCACCTATTTCTGCCTGTCTAAGTACCATTCATTCTTCCAGGTACAGCTCAAAGTCCATCTACTCAAAGAATCCTTTCTGCAAAGAAGTGGTCTCTTTTTCCTCTGAATTCATAGGATCATAGTGCCATATATGTTTAGAGATGAAAGGGGTCTTAGAATCTATCTAGACCAGTTCCTATAGCATGTTGCACCTATCTCCTGCCACTTATGCATTTTCTTTTATTATAGTTATTTGCAAAAAAGTGTCACCTATAGATCAGAGAGGACCTGAAGTATGGTAGCTTTATTTTACTTGCTTGACTATAATCTTCTTGAAGACAGATATTTTGTCTTCAGTAGTTTTTGTGTGCCTATCTCTTCTTGGCATATAGCTTTTATTCATAGTAGACACCAAGAAGTTTTTAAAGAAATTCTGAATGGATTATAGGAGTTCTGATTACTCCTTATTATATGAGAAGAACATAATATTACTCTTATTATATGAGGTTTTAGGTACTTAGATATCTTTATCTGTAAAAATGTTTCACTTTCATTGAATTTAGGACTACAGTTTCTTCCAGTAAACTCATATCTTCAAAATAAATCTTACACAGGTTTCTATGTTCTAAGATATGTCCTATGTTCTATGCTATGTTCTAAGCATAAGGATCTCTATACAGCAGTGATTCTGATCCCTTTTCAGAGATGAGCCCTTGAGGAACATTTCCTAGCTCATGAAATAAGCTTATTTCTCACTCTAACAAAATATGGATACTTGGCAATGTCTCCTCAGCCAACGGTGTCATCCTGTAGGTTTACTTAAGGACCTACATTGTAGGTCCTCACAATGGTCTTTTATAGACAAAGTGCCAACTAAATAATATCTTTGTCTGTAATTTTCAGTGGCTCACTGAAGTTATTTTCCCATTTCTGAGTTTTCCTTCCAGTTCATAAGTGATGGGCAACCAGGCTAATGGGAATACTTTAATAGTCAATATCTTCCCCTTAAATACACCTCAAAAGCCTAAAATATCTTATATAACATAAATATAGAAGGACCTCACAATTGGTTCTTTCAGCAAGGTTTACGTCTTTGTTTTCCTTTTCCATCAGTTTCTTATTTCTTTCATTCATTCTGGAGAATGAGAAAATGTGTTACCCTAAAGTAAATAGGATTAGTTGCCCCATCTCTGAGACCTATATTTATCTTTTAAAATTACATTGCTCACATAATATTCCCTGAATACAGAAAGAAATCAAAGATTCTGAATTTCAAATACCTGAATTTTATGTTTTTTTCTAAATTGGCAAGTGTTTCTAAACTCAATGTAATGTACAGAATGTACAGTGTACACTACAACATGAACAAAAGGCACAATGTACAGAGTCCCCTTCTGATGATCATAGACACTCGGTGACATCTTCTTTCACTGTAGGACATAACTTGAGGAATTAAAGGAGTTTGGGGAACATATAAAGATATGAATACAAAAGGAGGTAGTAATTATGGAAACAGAACATCAAAACATTTATTAAATGTGCACCTAGTGCACAGCTTCCTCACAACAAATATGTATACGTGGAACAAGACCCAACTGCCACCACTTCCACTACCATCTCAATATGATAAAGATAAAAGTTGAATTAATTTTGAAAGGTGATATTTAGTATTCAGCTTAAGTAATGTTGTTCAGTCATTTTCAGTCATGTCCAACTCTTCATGACCCCATTTGGGGTTTTCTTGGCAAAGACATTGGAATGGTTTGCCATTTCCTTCACCAAGCTTAAGTAATATCAATTTTTAAATATTTGAAATCAGTCTAAATGATTTTCCATCCTCCCAAAGACACTAGTAATATTTCCCTATATGGAGTTTTTATATAGTTAACCATCCATTTATACATTTTTATTTGTGAATGTTCATATCAGTGCAGGGAAACTGGATTTTAGAGACACTAAATATACATTTATTATTAAATAAGAGACCTGGAAATTATTTACATGATGAAACAAAAAGATTTAAGAACTTTAGTGGAATGGGCAACTTTCATAATGTCATTTGAATAGTGATTTCAGTCCACTTATTTCTCCAGAATGTAATCATCTCTAAATAAGAAATAGCCCTTGTCTTTTACTTCTCACCCAAATGCAATTTTGAAAAAAAATCTAAGAAGAAAACTTCATAATGATAGCACCCCAACCAAGGATCCAAGCACAAAATGAGGTGGGAAGAAATGAGTCCCTAAACAAAACAAAAAAAAATACAATGGAAGTAGTGAATAACTTAATAAGAAGAAATTATGGAAGGAGGATACTTGGGATTGCTATGATGATGTAAGGATCAGAAGACATCAATAAAAGCTTATTTTAAAAAATTAGATGATGAGTCAAACCAAAATTTTAGCCCAAAGTTTAAGGTAGGGAAAAGAAAGCCACGTGTGATAGACCATGTTGGAAATGTGATGCTATAGACGCAATATCTCTCCTAAAACTGGGGGGGGGGGAGATAAAGAGCCCATTCCTGCATTATGGGTAGATACATCATTGCCAGGACACAAATTCAATAAACTAGTATTTGTATAAGTACATTTTTAGCTCTATTTCACAGAAAGAAGACTGTTTGTTATTAAATTAGACAAATACTTATTAAACAACTACTATCTACAGAGCATGGTGCTGGATGCTGGAAGATGTACAAAGTCTAGACAATACATAGTTCCTGTCCTCACTGCATGTATATTCTAGGAGGGGCCTATCTGTAATATGAAAAAAAAAGTAATATATGACTAGTTCTCAGAAAGTTACAAATGTAAGTGCTATGGGGTGTCCCTGAGAAAATGTACTGTGGGATATTTCAGGGGAAAAAAAACATAATAAAAGAGAGGCCATTTGAGTTAGGCATTAAAAAATGGATGGGAATTCAATAGATGAAAAGACAGAGAGAAAAGTTCCAGTTTTGTGGAATATCCAGAAAACTAGCTTAGAGGATGTGGAGGAACTTAATTTTTTAAAATGGAAAGCTAGGATTTTGCATTATTGTAGAGGTTCTTAAATGCCCAGCAGAATTTAAAACTAGACTCCATAAGCAGTAGGGAATCGCAGCTGATTTCTGATCATAAATCTACTATAAATCCAATTAGTCAAGGCAGCTACATTGGCAGAAATTCACTAGTCTTATCTACTGTTACCCTCAGAGTTATTATCCTTGTTAAATGAGAGATTTTTAACCACAAATAACAAATGTTTAAAATTTAATTGCTAGAAAAAAAAGGCTAAACTTTATCAAGACTATTTGATTGAAATAGTACTAAACAAGCTTCCTATATTGGGGTTTCCAGTGGAGGAGTGGAAGCCGGAAAGGAGAAGTAACTATACAGTTGTTGTAAGATTGTAAGATCAAATGAGATAATATTTGTAAAACACCTGGCACATTGCAGGTATTATATAAATGTTAACTATATTGGAGAAATTTTAAAATTATAATTAAATAGTTGCTAAGAGATAGGAATTTGGACTCACCTTCCCAAGATGCTCCATCACAACTTCCTGGGTTTGACCTCCTTCCCTAGAACCAGGAGGCTGGGGGAAATTGGGGCTGAAGGCCATGAGATCATTCTTGGTCACCCCATCCCAGGAACACACCTTCTGCCGCCGCTGCTGAGAATAAGACAAGCTCCCCACCTCGCTGGAACATACCAGCATGGGCTTCCTAGGACCACACACACCCTTCGGCGGCACTGAGCATCGCAGAGCTACATAAAGCAGCAGACTCAGCACCAATAAACTAGACACCGAGCAGATGGCGATGATCAGATAAATATTCACATCCATCAGCGCTGTCTCCTTTTCCATACCAGCCTTTCCAAGGACACCAGAAGCACTAGATGAAGTTTTGAATGCCTGCCCGTTCTCCACCAGTGACAGACTCACAGTTGCTGTGGCTGACAACACAGGCTTCCCGTGGTCCTTCACTAATACCAGTAGGGTCTGCCTCGATGCATCCGAATCCTCTAGGGCCCGCGTGGTGCTAATCTCGCCAGTGTACAGACCCACGCGAAAAGGGCTGCGCCCAAGGCCTACCTCTGGCAACAGCTCATAGGACAGCCAGGCATTGTAGCCTGAATCCGCATCCACAGCTCGGATCTTCGCCACTACGTGGCCTACAACCACAGACTGTGACACCAGCTCTGTCACTGAACTAATGCCAGCATGAGGCGGCAGTACGGCTGGGGCGTTGTCGTTCTCGTCCAGCACAAACACCTGCAGGCTCACGTTGCTGCCCAGAGGAGGGAAGCCTGCGTCCCGGGCGCTCACCTGGAACTGCAGCAGCTCCAGCTCCTCGTGGTCCAGGGGCTGCAAGGCATACACTTTCCCGCTCTCCGAGTGTACAGACACGTAGCTAGACAGCGGACGCTCCCCTACACGCCGCTCCACCAGCGAATAGGACACCAGTGCGTTCTCTTGTGCATCGGGATCAGAGGCTGACACCGTGAAAATGTGACAGCCCGGTGGGTTGTTCTCCTTCACAAACACTGTGTACACATTTTGCTCGAAGGAAGGTGAGTTGTCGTTTACGTCGCCAATGCCCACAGACACACTGGCCGTGGCCCAAAGCGCTGGCGTCCCGCCGTCCCTCGCAGTCACCACTAGTTGATAGGCCTCTACGCTCTCACGGTCAACAGGACTATCAAGCACCAGCGAGTAGTAATTTCTGAAGGTGGACACCAGAGTAAAGGGCCCCGGGGGTGACAGGGAGCAAGTCACTTGCCCATTGGCACCTGAATCTCTGTCAAAAACACTGATGAGGGCAATGACTGTACCTGGCTGGGCGTCCTCCGGGACTGGCAGAGACAAGGAAGTCACAGACACCTGGGGGGCGTTATCATTAATGTCTAGTAACTTTACCACAACTTTGCAATGGCCTGTTAACGGAAAAGAACTTCTATCAACAGCCTCAACCTTGATTTCATATAAATTACATTCTTCATAATCCAGATTTCCGTTTACTCTTATTTCTCCTGTATTACTATCGATGTTGAATTTCGATCTTACATCGGCTAGAACAAGACTTCCAAAGTGATATTCTATCTCTTTATTTACTCCTTCATCTGCATCAGAGGCGTTCAGTCTGATCACTAGCGTCCCATTAGGAATATTTTCGAGTAATCTAACATTGTAGATGGATTTATCGAATGTTGGGGCGTTATCGTTTGCGTCCAGCACAGTGATCAGCAGCTGTGCTGTTCCCGTTAGTTCTGGTTTGCCTTGATCTGTGGCCGTCAATAATAAATTGTGTTCAGGAGTTTCTTCTCTGTCTAAAGATTTCTTCAAAACTAACTCTACGGATTTAGTATCTGCCTCATTTGCATGTATATCCAAAGTAAAATACTCATTTCCAGACAGCTTGTATAACAATTCTGCGTTAGCTCCGATATCCTCATCAGATGCGCCCTCTAGTGGGAATCTAGAATCTGCAATCCTGGATTCTAAAATGAATAATTTTTGTTGCTTAACCAAGAACACAGGCGGGTTGTCATTAATGTCCTTGATCTCCACCTCCACATGGAAAACCTGCAGCGGTTTCTCCACGATCACCTCCAGGTGGATGCTACAAACAGGATTGGGGCCACACAGCTCCTCTCGGTCGATCCGCGAATTCACAAACAAAATGCCATTTTGAGCATTTACCTCCAAATAGTCTCTGCTGCCCTTGGACACCATCCGGAACAGCCTCGTCACCAGCTCCGCGACCTCCAGACCCAGATCCTGCGCGATTCGCCCCACGAACGTACCGTGTTTCGCTTCCTCCAGCACGGAGTAATGGACCTGGCCGCTCCCCAGCTCCCAGGCTGTGTGGAGCAGAAGCGAGAACAGCAGATGCCGGGCTCCCAGGCCGCCTCCCCAAGAAAACGCCATCGCAAAACCTTTCTCTCTCCACTCATAAATCACTGGCTCATGATTCACAACTTAAAGAATTCCTTCGAAAAACTACCTTATCCTTGTCTTTAAATGCAATCTTCTTGGCTTGTTCTCTTCGTTGAATGTTGCTGTTCGTTCAGAATCAGCCATTGAATGCGTTTCTTTCTATTCTGATGAAAAACACGGTTTATCCTTTGTTAGAAAATCCACCTTGTGGAGGACAGCGACATCATGTGGCTCAGTTTGTAAGTATAATCGCGATGAATGTGGATGAATGTTGTATTTCTTTCAGTCACTTCTTTCAGGTCCCGTTGTCTTCATTTACTTTATGTTCCTTTGCTCATTTCAAGAACCCTTTCATGGTCTCATATATTGTTTATATAAGTCTACTTAGACTCTAAATATGGCCTTGTCTTGTAAATTACTCTTCCAAGCACATTGTTGTTTTAAATGTAAATCTCAGAAAAAAATAAAATTATGTAGTTTTCATTTAATTGTACTTACAAGTTTCCAAACTACATATACGAGATTAATGAAACTTTTTCCCTCATGGATTCTTTCAATTATCATTATTGTTGGATGTGCATTTCACAAAATCAAGTTCAATTGGTCCTTATTCTTCCAGGGCTTAGCAGTATGTGGCATTTATACTAGGCTCTTAGGATATAAATACTAGTTGATTGACTTTTTTCAGTCACAATACACATTTCCATTTGTGTGGAAAATATCCTTTTATGATAAAAAAAAGCTCAAGATTTCAAGATATTACTGTAAATTTGAAAATCTCTAGACTAAGCCTCAATTTGTCTACGTATTGTCTTCCTTTATTGATCATTAAAGAAACTACCACTGACCTCCACAAATTGTTATTTAGTAGTTTTGTTCCCCTCCCATGTCCTTCATCATTCCTCTATTCAAGATGGAAATTAATGTTCCCATGCTACAATGTTAGGCAGCATTACTATATTCAAAAGAAGGTTTCATTTCCTGCTTTCTGTCCCTTCCATGAGGAAAGACAGCTTCATTCTCTTACTAAGCAGACAGAAATGGTAACTGAGAAATAATTTAATCTATTACTTGTTAGAATGACTTTCATCTTTGTCAAAAATTCATCCACTCCTTTATACACACAAAGTTCATCCCTTTATTCTGAAAACTGTCCACTAATTTACTCAATACCAACGTTATCATCTCCAAGGGAAAAATAATTCTTTAGGTGCTCTCAGTGCTTGTAGGTCCAGATATTCCAAAGCTGAAATCCCTTATTCAGGCTTGAACTACTGAAATGAAGAAAATCTAAGATTGCCCTTTTCTAAAAGATAAGTACATTTTTGCCTTGTACCTAAAAATGACCTTTGGTTCTATCTCTAACTAAGGTTATATAGTTCTCTTGTATGTTTAGCAACTACAAAGAGTCCTAACATTAACAATGAATCCAAACAAAATGATATCATATGTGTAAAGAATGGGGTAAACCTTACAATGCCATATAAATGTAAATTATTATTATTATGTTGGTGTTGGTGGTGGTGTCATATACCTGTGCAGCACCAGTCAATTATAACTGAATTGTTTTTTAATCATTAACTAATTAAATCTGGATCAACAATATTTGTGAATAAAAAGCAGGCAGGAAATCCACATGCAAATGAATAGTCTCATAATGGAAAATATTCATGACTTAAAGGATCAAACTCTTTCCTTTGGATTATTTTCTTGGAAAAAGTTGGAGTAGCTATGTGGCACAGTGGACAAAAACATCATGTAGCCCTAAAATCTGGCCTCAGACATTTATTCACTGTGTGACCCATGGCAAGTCATTTAATCTGTTTGCCTTAGTTTTCTCATCTGTAAAATGGAGATACTAATAGCACCTCCTTCTTAGAGTTGTTGTGATGATAAAGTAAAATATATGTAAAGTGCTTAACACAGTGTCTGGAACATAGTAGGTACTATATAAATGTTAGCTATTATTATTATTAAGTCTCCACTGAAAATTGGCCCCATTGTTGGCTTGAAGGATTTCTTCCTATAAGAAGCATAGATAAGAGGTAAATTATAAATATCAACTCAAATTACTGATAGAAGCAGTCACTAACTAGTTCTACCAGAAGTATTTTGATTACCCACCTTCCAAGTAACTAATCCTGCAAAAAATCAAATTTAGAACTGAAAAAAGGACTTCAGGGGTCATTTAGTCCTCCTATTACAGATGGGAAAACTAAGTCTCACAGAAGAAGAGGTATTTTTACATTATATTATTACATTAGAGTCTAATAGGCAGTATTCAGGACAGAAAACTTTTTAAGGAATATAAATTGAAGATATATTAAACTTGAACATGGAAATGATATGCTCAAGAGTATATACAAAATAGAGTGGGTTGTCAAATTATTTTCCATCCAAAAATATGAAATATATACATTGCCTCAGTGAACTCAGGAATTACATGTCTCTGTACTTAATGAAAGCAAGTGTTCACTGCAGTTTGAAGGAAAAACCACTTTACTAACACAAAACTGGAGCAAGATATTTGAATAGAAGTTTTGTCTTCATCATTTCATATTCCCTTTCCTCTACTTTTTTCTCCCCTACTCACTTTGAGTATCAGTTTCACTCTGGATCTCAGTGCTCTGATGCTGCCTGCTGATCTGATAAAGCCAATTCATACTATAATTGATGTTACAATATTGACAATGCTGACTTAAAGTTACTGTACTTACAAACATTTACATTTTCTAAGATTTCCAGAGTAGGCAATGTTCAATACAAATATATGAATTGCTACTTGTGTAATTTGATTTATTGTATATATCCAAGCAGAAGTCACATTTTGAGGCACAGCACTTCTAAATACTCCTCATGTTGCACTACCTAACCAACTTCATACTTGACCTGTGTCCAAAGCCAAAATAGAGGAAGTGATTCTCCAAAGGTAATAACAAGTAGGTTGGGGATATTGCAGTCTTGGACCAAGATAAGTCAGATGGAACAGAATGAGATCTGAGAGATGTGAAAGGTGGTGAGTAGCCTCATGATCTCAGAAAACATTGGAGTCTGACTTTAAAGATAATGAAGAAGGAAGGCTAAAAAATAAGTTTGTCTTGGTTTTTGCAGATCCCAAAATGTGTTCATGTCCTCACGCAAATTTTTTGAGGTTTGGGGGCTTTTTTGTTCACTTGTTTACCAAAGTTAAGTAGAGTTCCCTCAGGTTATGCTTTCCCTTTGTTTTTCTATAGGCTACTCTGATTTTTGTTTCACTAGGTTTTAATCAAACTGCCTCAGAAAGTGTTTTGAACTTATCTACAGCATGTTATAACATAATTGAAGAAGAAGGAATATGGGTGCCAAGTAATTGAACTAAAAAAGAATTCAATAAAAGTTTAAATAAGGTAGAATCAAGGAGAGGCTCATAAATACCAAAGAGAATTTAAAATGCTCATACATACATACAATTTCATGCTCATACATAGTAAAGAAGCACTGTAATCTCTACAGTGAATTTTATGGCTGAAAGTGTAGTGTACTGTAGAAGATTGTCTGTGAAACCATCTCTTCCCTTTTTCAAATTTACTTCTATGTATCTTTACTAGGTCTATGTAGTTTTTCTCAAAATTCAACTCCTTTCTTTCATTGCAGAGGTAGGGAACTATGGATGTGATGTGATGTTGCATATACTATCATTTTGGCTGGATTAGTTTTGCTCAATTGCTTTTTTCTTCTTTTATTTTTAATATGCATTACAAGGAATGGTTCATTCAGGACCAGAAGGGAAAATATGTTTAGAAATAAAAGTGATACAAAAATAACAGGTATAGTTTAAAACTTCTGTTAAAAAGCTAAAGACACTAAAAGCAAGAAGGCAGGTAAATAGAGCAGCAATAATTCATGTCTTCTTGATTGTTTGGGGATGATGGGGATGGGTTGGAGAAAAGAATATAATTTGTGATATTTTTCATGAAGTTTTTTTATTCTCTCTTTTCTAAGACATCTTGAAATTCAGTCCCTCAATGCTGTCAAAAAATGTGTCACTTCCAGCATCAGTTCTTTCTGTGTGTAGTTTTTCTGTTCCATCAATTCTCTAGGAACTGATCTTCCTAATGACCTCAACTATGTGCATAAAATGTTTTACACAGATTATCTAATTTGATCAGAACAACCCTATCAGATGAATTTTCTCAGAGCATATAGAGTCCAAATTTAGGAGATCCACTGCCATTGACAAAGAAAATACATTGTTATGGAAATGCTAATTTTGGGGGGTGCTGGATGGGAAACCCCTAATCAAGTGAGTTTACCCAACTCACTTGAGGAAATTATGGTATATAAGGAGTAGGTACCAGAAACAACGATCTATTAAAGATCCTTAAGTGGTTTCATTGTGTCTTGTAAAGAGTATGAAACTTTAGGGACAGCTAGGTGGTGCAGTGGATAGAGCATCAGCCCTGAAGTCAGGAGGACCTGAGTTCAAATCCGGCTTCAGACCAAACACTTGACACTTACTAGCTGTGTGACTCTGGGCAAGTCACTTAACCCCAATTGCCTTTAAAAAAAAGTATGAAACTTTGAGTGGTTTCACATGCTAAGTGATCCATTTGCAGATTAGAAAGGATATGTACCTGGGAGTGGCCCATTCTCATCTTTGTAAAAGATTTACTCTTCCATTTGCTGGAATTTTAGGACAATTAGCCATTGTTTGGCTAGAAGATGGACCACACCTCGAGTGTCCTTAAATACAAAAAGCAAATACTCAGAAGGAATTTCTCGCTGGCACTTAAGACCAGAGGAATTCAGGTAGTGAAGTTAGTCATCTCTGACAACCAAAAGGAGAGCTAGATATGAAGAAAGCAACTGACTCTTTAGAGGAAATTACTCTTTTCCTTTGCTCTTATTACTTCTTTTCCAGGAGGAAGCATAGTAAAGGGATTTTTCTCTACTCCCTGTCCTCATAGTGTTTCACAACAGAACAACTTGTCCAGTAGAAGACTGTGCCCAAC